GTCGTAAACTTTACCACAGTGGATAAGTCTAAATATTGACTGAAAGCCTGAAATGACTTGATAATTCTTTTTCCAGGTTTTTAAAGAGCTGTTCAGATCAAAATGAACGTTTCAGATTAAAATTTGTTTACAGTTTTATACAGTGGTATACTACTGTTGCCTTTATTTAAAACCCTTTCTATCTTATTTAAATGTAATAGTAGCACAGCCGACATGTAATGCGTGTACTTAAAGCTTCTCATGATATATAAAGGCAACAGTAGTATACCGCTGTTCGAAATTCATAAATTGATTGAGAAAAAACAAATCCGGGTTACAAACTAACACTGAGGGAAACACATCAAATATAAGAGGAGAACAAAGACACATAAGAAACAATAAAATGCAACACACACAGAAACGAACTATAAGATAACAATAGCCATTTTCCTGACTTGGTACAATCCATTTTAAGAAAAAATGGTGGGTTGAACCTGGTTTTGTGACTAGCCAAACCTCCCGCTTTAATGGCAATGTTAAATATAACACTAAAATGACAACATTACATGACAGGACTACAATACAAATAAATGGAAGAACATACAGGTGTCTTACTGAGAGCTTATTCATAGCTCAATTTCAACTATTAAATAAACCATGTTCTGACATTTTTAAATATCATTCAGTACACCTCCAGCGTATATAGTAAAAATACGTCAGGTCTGAAAAAGGCAAGACTTTTGTACATTGCAAAAATATAAGCATCGATATAATGTAGGACCATAAGTGTAAACTAGAGGTAATGTGAGCAGAGCTGACACAATGATACCCTGCCCCTTGTAAAGTCCATGCTTTGGTAAGGGACACCTGAAAAATAATTGAGATCAAACACAACATTGGATGTGCTTGCACAAAAGCATTGTATCATTTTGATTGTGAGAATATTTCAATAAATTGTAATGAGCTGTTTATGAAGAATTGCGGATACAAAACGGGTACCCCCCAATGGAAAAGCCCATACTTTGGTAAGGGAAACTCCAAAAACAAGAAACAGGTAGTACGTAACTGACAGATCCATAAGTTACAACTAATCACTATCAAGGTTCTGACCAAATATGAATCATTTTGTTAAGCAGTCTGTGAGAAAAGTGTGCCGAAAATATTTCATTCAACGTATTAAAAAATTTAAAGTATCGGCAAACAGGAAGTAAATATTTGACAGATCCAAAAAATAATCATACGTTACAACTCATTACTATTAAGCTGCTAACCAAATATGAAGTCTTTCTGTTTAGTAGATTCGGAGACAAGTTAGACAAAATTACTTGTTTAACGACCGGCGGGACTGACAAGGTGATTTTAATGCATGAATAGGACTTGCACAATAACATTATATGGTAAAAATTGTGGAAAAGTTTCAATAAATTGTAATGAGGGGTTTAGATGGAGTTGCAGATACAAAATCGGTACATCCCAAAAATATCAAAGTAAATACCTTAAATTTTTTGGATAAAATAAAATATGGGGTTCACAAAAGCATTATTTCGTTAAGACTGTTAGAAAGTTCAAAAATTTTAATAAGGGGGTTTAGGAGTTGCGGATACAAATGGGTACGTCCCAAATAAAGAAAAAGTCCATACTTTGGTAAAGGAAACCCTAATAATGATTCGGATCATAAAGTAAAATATTAGGAGGTGCACTATGGCATTATGTCACGAAGAGTCCATTCACTGGTTTAGGATTAGTTGTGGACAGAGGATTTGATAATTATAATATTTAAAGGGTAAAAACCATGTCTTTTAGGCATTATGTCACAAATAATCTATTAAATCTTGATTGAAATCTATTCACTTGTTAAGGAGGAGTTGCGGAAGGAGGAATGCTTACCCCTTATAATGTGAAAGGGCAAACACCTTGTTTTTAGTATGGGAAACCCCAGGAATCGTTCTGATCAAAAAGTAAAATAGGAGATGAACAAGAACTTTGAATAATAAAGATTAAATGATAAATTCATTCTTTGGTTTAGAAGAAATTGGTCAGAAGGGACGAACGAAATAAAAATAATTACGAGTGGTAAATTTCAATTTTCAATACCAACTTTGTATTCTGTGCAAGTGTCACGAAACCATTCATGCTTGCTCGATAACACAATAAATGTGTAGTGCATTTTCCTTTGAACAATAAATGCAAATTAAAATAATTCCACCTGCATTTAAGATTTATAAGATTTATACAGTGCAGTGTACTACTTGTGAACAAAATATATCAAAATTATAAAAAAAATATCATCGGTACTAGCTAAAAATAAAGACTATTATTTATGTTAAGGATATTTTGATTTAACAGATTCAGGCGTATTAATTTTTGACCTTTCAACTGAACCAAATCACTACTCTACCTTAAAATTCATGACCTATATTGTTTTACAGTGTAATTTCACCCTCCTTCTTTCTATTTTCTATTCATAAAACATGAAGCAATACATTAGCGAGGTGAATGAAAAAGAATTCTGAAAAAAGAATTATCCCTTTGGTATCTTTAGCCTCTCTTTAGTTATACACTGTTCACCTTTGGGACTATATTCATAGAGAACAATTATCATCGGGCGATAACTGTGTCTGCTGTTTTGTGGTGTTTTTTTAATATTAATTCAATTGTGCCATTAAAATTTCAGTTTTTCATTAAAAGATGTAAGTGCAGGCGAAATATTGACAGGCACAATTTAAAGATGATAGATAGATATATCTTGGTTAAAAATGTATTAATAACTTGAAATAAAAAAAAAAGTTAAAATATATGTTGCAAATGTAGTGATTTGTTGAAAGATGTGTTATAGATCATCTCCCTTCGGCGTTCGTCTATTATACCCACCGAAAAGGTTTGCGTCTCTAATTGTTAAATTTATCCTTATAAAGTTATCATTAACATTTCTTTATTCAAATATGTGTGGGATTTAAAGTATTAACGTATTAAAATTATTGAACTGTCGGTTTTAAACTGGTTTATTGTAATTTGATATGTGTTACATTTTGTAACTGTATTATATTTTGTTTTATCTCAATTTTCAGAAAATTCATGTTTAGTTGACCGTCAAATGTAGGGCAATTAAATTTTACCAGACGATCATACAATTGTAAGTTTTTAACATATACCATAAATAATTTAAGATAACACTTGTTTCTAACCAGACACTCTGATGATAATTGTGGGCAAATTTGTTCTGAATTTGCCTTATTGTTTCAGAGATAAGTTTTGAAAATGTGTATGCATTTCTTATATATATGTATGTTCCGGATCATATGAGTATATGGACTATGCGCGTATGATCATCACCATATGGTCCGTATGGTCGGACCATATTAGTATATACTCGTTTGGTTATTACCAATTAACGGGCTAGGCCACACAAGAATTTATAGGTATTTTTCGAATAAATTCTTACTTCCTTTGTAGGTACAAACTCCTCATTCTCCGTACCCAAAACGGCACAAATTACTAACTGAAATCCTTATCTTTGACAAATTGTCTGAATCTTTAAGAATATGTTATCTCGTTTTCGATAGAGTCAATTTAAAGTCGATCTTTATCCTGTAGACTGACTTGTAGGTCCAGTGAAAAACCAGGGGTTTGGTGTATTGGTCTTGTTTTCCCCCGGTTTTGATATAAGTATTTTTTAAGAAACAAACATTTCTTCTAATTTCTGCTTATTTTCATTTAATTGATGTGTTCCTAATCTATTTATACAATCCTGCAATAACAGTAGTGTAAACATGCTGCCTTTCTATTCTTATTTTCCACATAATAATAAAGGGACAATACGTATAATCTTCTGTTATTGTCGCATCATGTAAATAGGAGCAAGAACACATTAGATTACTTATACAATTTGAAACATTTAAGAAATGTTAATTTAATAAAATAAAAAAAAAAATTATAAAATAAAATTGAAAAAACGAGTGCTCAATGCTTTAAGTGACTTTTTTTGTTTCACAGTTCTTTTAGATGTTTCTGGAAGTTTTTTTCAAAGTCGATATATTGTGTTTCGCAGGACTAAAGTCGATATATTATGTTTCGCAGGACTAAAGTCGATATATTATGTTTCGCAGGACTAAAGTCGATATATTGTGTTTCGCAGGACTAAAGTCCATATATTATGTTTCGCAGGACTAAAGTCCATATATTATGTTTCGCAGGACTAAAGTCGATATATTGTGTTTCGCAGGACTAAAGTCGATATATTATGTTTCGCAGGACTTAAGTCGATATATTGTGTTTCGCAGGACTAAAGTCGATATATTATGTTTCGCAGGACTAAAGTCGATATATTTTGTTTCGCAGGACTAAAGTCGATATATTGTGTTTCGCAGGACTAAAGTCGATATATTATGTTTCGCAGGACTAAAGTCGATATATTATGTTTCGCAGGACTAAAGTCGATATATTGTGTTTCGCAGGACTAAAGTCGATATATTATGTTTCGCAGGACTAAAGTCGATATATTGTGTTCTGCAGGACTAAAGTCGATATATTGTGTTTCGCAGGACTAAAGTCGATATATTATGTTTCGCAGGACTAATCGAGAATGACCATGTAAACATGTTTTAATATAAATTTTTAAAAAATCACTTTATTTCATTAATTATGTAACATAAGATAAAATAAGTCCAAATTTCCTTTTTAGAAAATCTTAATTTATGACACCTTAAAGTCCATATAAAATTTACAGGAAAAGTAACTTTTCAAATTTAATCACTCGAACCATACGCGAATGATCTGACCATATGAGTAAATATGCATATGTTCCAAATACTCATATGATCCGGAACATATACACTGACACCTTAAGTTCTCCAATGCTGTATAAGTGGAAGGGTTTTTACTCAGTTTTCTCTAAAAAAACATTTATTTAGACTAATCCTCATATACAAAATACATACAGATACGCAATACCTGAGTCTTAAATCTATTAACTCTAATTATTTAGGTCTGTATGTATATATGCTACACACAAGCCTGTTAAACCTGAGAGAAGATATACATGAATATAATTTGTGTGTTATCATGTCAACTACACAACACACTTAACCAGCCAAAGAAATGACTGGAACTAGGACAGGTGAGAAAATTATAAATTTATAATAGTTTGTACTTTCGTATATAAGTAAGTAAATTGTGTTCTATAGTGACAAGTCTATTACAGCATAAATATATATTTGTTTACAAAATATATCTCGCCAAAAAAATATACCCGGCCCATTGGACCTTGTGTCACTTTTTACTTTCAGTTTATTTAAATATTTTCATATCACGTGTTAATGTCAGTTTGAATTCAAGAGAAAGTCAATTATAATTGAAAATGAGCTTGCAAACATTCAGATCTGGTTCTACGTTTTAAGTATTTGAAAATATAAAAAAAAAAAAAACACAACTTCTGCTTTCTACGGTAAAATGGCGCAACAAAATATTTAGCTGCTTTTTCCTGGTTCATTTTATATGGCTATCTAGATGAATATAGTCATGCAACACTAAAATATCTCTAAATATATTTGTTAGTCTGATATCATTATATACAATTGAAAAAAAATAGTTCGGTTTCAAAATTCTGTGAGGTACAAAATCGACAAAGTCTATCTCGTCTAGTTCCCCAATTTATCTACCGGTCTATTTTGATCGGAAGTATCCTCCACCTTGATATTTCACGAAGGTATGCAACAATTAAGATCAATTAATAGATGAAATCTGACATTATACGAGTTTTTAAAAAGATTTAAGGTAATGCAAAAAGTTAAAAAGTAACTTTTCAATTTTGGAATATGACTAGTATAGAAAAGTATAAAGGAAGAAGTACGTGAACAGATGTAGTATTTTGTCTAGATAAAAGAACTTAGATAATAGGTGTTATAATGAACACCGGTATGGGATATCCAATTTGCAGGTTTAATCTATCATATATCATTGATAAGCTAATTTTTGTCGTATATATATTTCAGCAGGACCAGTGTATACTAACTATAGGCTGTCCCTGATTTAAGGTGCCAAAAAGAAATCACGCCGAGCTCACCTGTTCATAAATGCTAAATTATGCCGAGATGCAATAAGTGTTTTTAATTAGAAACAGTTAAAACTTTCCGACATTCGCATATTATTTATTATAACACCGAAGGAATATTTTGCGACCTCTAGACTACTGCTCTTCTAGAAAAAAGGAAGGAACTGTTTTGCTTTTAAGCTTGTGGTAATTTGCTGCAAAGCTTAATAATGGCAAACTGCAATACCAAACAACGATTAAGTATAAAAATAGTATTTGACAAACAGATAAATGATTAAAATCGTGTATAAAACGGCACAATCAATCCCAATCGGAAGTCTTATATACATTTCTTGCCTGTAATTTCCGACTTCGTCGGTGTGGAACTTGACTGAACAAAATGGCGTCAATGTGAATTATAAACATGGGATTTTGAAAAATCATAGCAAATTCGTTTTTATCACCATTTTCATAAAACCAACACTATGTGATAGAAAAAACACTAAGCTTTTAAATTGTATGTCAATGTCACATCTATTTCAAGTAGTTATTTAACCCTTACCAGAATACGGCGTGTTCCCTTGATTTTAATATTTAATTTCCATGATAAGTTATAAAAATGTTAAAATAAAAAAAAATCAATCAGTTTCATTGTTCCAGTCCTGAAGTGGTAATATCAGAAAATGAACATACTCATCTATACCTGTTAATAAACTCAGTTTTTTGTTTTTGTTTTAAACATCTGTTTGTTAAGTTATATTATCTGTCCCTTTATCAGCATGGGATAACAGATTTACATCTCTACTTAGCAATTTTATAATTGAGAGAAGATATGGAATTTTCACTCTGAAGGGTTTAGATGTAAGACTGTTCACCAACTGTTTGTACAACGTTCGTAATCCATGTTAAGCATCATTTTCGTTATTCAATCGGCGTCTAACGTAATGGATGGACGAACAAAAATAAAAATAATTACCAGTGGTAAATTTCAATTATCAATACCAACTTCGTATTCTGGGCAAGTGTCATGCAACCATTCATGCTTGCTCGATAACACAATAAATGTGTAGTGCATTTTCCTTTGATTAATAAATGCAAATTAAAAAATTCCACCTGCATTTAAGATTTATAAGATTTTTACAGTGCAGTGTACTACTTTTGAACAAAATATATCAAAATTATAAAAAAATTCATTGGTACTAACTCAAAATAAGGACAATTGTTTATATTTTAATTCAATTTAACAGCTTCAGGCGTATTAATTTTTGACCTTTCAACTGAACCAAATCACTACTCTACCTTAACATTCATGATCTATATTGTTTTACAGTGTAATTTCACCCTCCTTCTTGCTATTTTCTATTCATAAAACATGAAGCAATACATTAGCGAGGTTAATGAAAAAGAATTTTGAAAAAAGAATTATCCCTTTGGTATCTTTAGCCTCTCTTTAACAAGTTATACACTGTTCACATTTGGGACTATATTCATAGAGAACAATTATCATCGGGCGATAACTGTGTCTGCTGTTTTGTGGTGTTTTTTTAATATTAATTCAATTGTGCCATTACAATATCTTTCTTTATTTCCCATTTTTAAAGGAAATTTCAGTTTTGCATTAAAAGTTGTGAGTGCAGGCGAAATATTGACAGGCAAAATTAAAGATGATAGAAAGATAAATCTTGGTTAAAAATGTATTAATAACTTGAAATAAAAAAAAGTTAAAATATATGTTGAAAATGTAGTAACTTGTAGTAAAGACTGTTCGCCAACTGTTTGTACAACGTTTGTAATCCATGTTAAGCATCATTTTCGTTATTCAGTCGTCTTCTAACGTAATCAACCGAACTGACTTTGTATCCACCCCGCATTCCCATACAGATTTATAAAGGCGGCGAATATGTGTACACCTAAGAATCATCGAATTACTCAATTCTGTATATTGTCGATTGTCTGATGCTATATATTGTATATGCATAGTCAGGAATAGTAGTAACAGATGCATTATAAAGTTTTTCATACGATTGAATTCCAAATTCTTTAACATATGGATTTTTCGAGATGATTTTTTCTCGAACACTTTCTACATCCTTTATAGTATCTCTTTTGCCTTTTGCATAGTTATTAACACTAAGGGTTGTAAAAAGTTCTTAACAATATTTTCTTTGAACTAATTGAAATAAGACAGAAACGACTTTCTTCTAACGAACAAATTAAACGCACGTTTTCATCCTGACCATTCAAATCAGTTTAACTTTTCATGATATAGGTCATCAAAATTGTTTCATTTTTATAATTTATTATGTTTTGCATGCTCTCAATATTTATGACTGTTTGTTTGCGTAACATCCAGTGATAAATAGCTCATGCGTATTCGTGACGAATCCGACAAAATAACGATAAATATAATAGATATATTGTGCAAGTAAGTGTAAGTGAGTCAATCGTGATGAACAGCAATCAATTTGAACTGCTACTTGAAAAGGGCAGGTTTGATAGTGATAGTGAAATTTTACCTTGCAGCAGGCCTCCTACAAACATCCCCAGAGAGTTATAGATACAAAAATATTAGCTTTGCTTTTAAATGTAAGTTTTCATTTAGGTTTAAAATTCATCGTGTTGATGTTTTTCCAAATGTACATTCATATTATTTGTCATTTTTTCATGTGCATTTAATTGTTATTATATTTATTATTAGTCGTTCCATATCATTCACAGATTTCAAAACGGCTTTGGAAAATGGAGATACTATTCTGGTTGCGGAGGGATATGTTAGAGAATTTGGAAGAAGGGGTTATCTTAAGATGGGACCTTTTATACCCGAAGTTGTATTAGATTACCCACATCTTGTTCAGAATATGTACGAGGAATTTGCACATGCCGGATCTGATGTTGTTGAAGCCTTAACGGTATGTAAGGATGTTTCGGTATACTAGTAACTAGCGACAGAAGCCGCTCATGAAACCATGCATGTGATGAATGAAATTATTGTGATTTATTATTTGCTAATTTGCAAATGATAAAAATGATTACTACTTAGATGTATAGTAAACCAAAAAGGCGAGAGGTTTCGTTAAGTGGAATTACTTTCTGTTTTATGTAGACTTAACCTTTCTTTCCTTGATTATGACTTACTACTGGAAAGTTGTTAGTGGATCAGCAGTTGTTTACAGGAGAATCAGTGAGAGGGAATAATCCGTTGCAATAACATTGATACCGTTAATGTTAATATGTACTCATTAAGAGGGTCAGTGAAAGAGAAAAGTTGTTTAATCGTCTATAAAATAAGTTAAAGCGGACTATAAGTGTTTTACTCGTCTGGAGGATCATTCAGATTGCATCACGAGTTACTAGCTCGTCTTTTGGATGATTGAGAGTGGAACATGAATTCTTATTATCCCTTCATATGTGATAATTTTATTCTATTGGGTAACACATCATCACCATTGAGACGATGACTTCATCATCTAAACTATGGTAGATAGTTGTCTCATTTGCAAACATACAACATCTCCTTATTTTTATATTGTTAGTTTTTGATTGATGGTACTGTTCCACTAAGAACTACATTTTTTAGATGATCAGTAACATTAGATTGTGATCACAAGATGACCAAATTGCATACGTTTACAATTTAGTCTCATGTTTGTTATGATTTTGAACATGATTTGCCCAAATTGTTAAATGTCCTATCTTCCAACTTTTTTTTCATTGTTTCATATTCATAATTATACCCCACGGAATCAGTTCGTCAGTCCTGTTCTTGTCATCGCAACTCCTCAGAATCAACACAACAGAATTTCATGAAACCTTGTAGATAGTTAGGGCATACTATGTAGATTTGCATATCGACAGGACATTATGTTTCAAATTGAGAGCTATGCCCTCTGAACTTTAATTTTTTGCATAAATATACAACTGCAACAGTTTGTCATCGTAACTTCTCTAAAACCACACAACAGAATTTCCTGAAATTTTGTAGATATGTAGATGTGCATATCCACAGAAAATTGTTGTCAGCTAATTTTTGTAGGAGTTATGAGTCTTTGAACTTAGGAATCTAGTGAGATTTTGTTCGCCCAGTGACAATGTAGGGCGTGTGGTATGTGAGCGTGCTCACAAAGGTTCTTTAATTATTAATGAAATTTAATGTTTATTTAACAGTACTATGGCCATAGAGAGAAATTAAGACTCATCGGAAGAGAAGACGAATTGGAAAAGTTAAATCGAAGTGCTTTAAAGATGGCCCGAAAAGTTGCAGACGATCATAACAAATGGATGGCGGCTGGTATTTGTAATTCAGCTGTTTATGAACCAGACGATGAAAAAGCCCGTAGTGAAACAAAGCAGATCTTTCAGGCAAGTTCCATCAATTAAGTCCAGTTCTAATTAGCAATAAAATTTCTTAAAGGTATCATCGGGAAGTAGATCCTTGTACAAAAGTAATAAACTATCCAACGATTTATCTAGACAGTTTACATCCAATTTAGCAGGTATAAAAGAGTATTTATGGTTGGATTTTACAGGAACAGATAGAATGGGCCGTGGAAGAAAATGCTGACTATATAATCGGCGAAACGTTCAATGACTATGGAGAAGCTGCCTTAGCTCTTCAATCAATACAGGAATTTGGTAAAGGTATGTAGCTGAAATTATCAGTTCAGATGTTAGGATCAACAAATACAAAAAAAAAACTTTTCTTTTAATTGGTGTTATTGTGTGGTTTTTCTTTTTTCCCATTTGTTACTCCACTAATCTTTAAACTAATGGATGATACACAGCTAAAAAAAAAGAACTAATTTGACCGTATCATGTGTTTGTTTGCCAGTTACAACAAAACAATTCGATCGCAGGTCATTATCGTTGTTTCTTAATGAGAAGTCCTTTTAGAAATTAACTGTTTATGATAGATTTATTCAGGTGGTGAATGTTTGCAACACTCGCTGGCAAGAGCGAGAATAAGATCTTCACATATCGGCGTCTTGAGAAACCATAATTCCTATTTACTCCGTTTCACACCTTTTCATGTGACATGGTTTTTGGTGGGGTTAGTGTTGCCTTTCTAGTTTTAATGTAGTGTTTTGTTGATTATTTTTTCGGTTTTTTTCCACGGTTCTGTCTGTCTCTCTTTGACTGAAGAGTTATGATTTATCCTTTGGTATGTTTCCTGATAAAAATCAATATCAAAGCGTGTTGTTGTTATTTATGTAATCTTATTTATGAAGACTTCGAATCTGAAAAGGAAATAAATGTATAAACAAAAGGCAATGTTTTTATTAGAAAATGCTATTTTGTATGACTAATTTTTGATACTGTAAAGTGATATTGTGAAAACATGCCTCTGAATTGATAAACTCACCAGTCTAATAGATATAAGAAGATGTGGTATGAGTGCCAATGAGACAACTCTCCATCCAAGTCAAAATTTATAAAAGTAAACCATTATAGGTTAAAGTACGGTCTTCAACACGGAGCCTTGGCTCACACCGAACAGCAAGCTATAAAGGGCCCCAAAATTACTAGTGTTAATCCATTCAAACGGGAAAACCAACGGTCTAATCTATATAAAAAACGAGAAACGGGAAACACTTATGAACCGCATCAACAAACGACAACTACTGAACATCAGATTCCTGACTTAGGACAGGTGCGAAATAATCGTGACCTTTTGTCGTTAAATTTTGCTTTCAACTGACCCTCATTGTCAATTTATTGATGTAAGTCGAAATATGAGGTAGACTTAACTGTATATGCAGTATCTTTAATTTAGATTTCGATGGGAAAGATTCGTTAAACATAGACAGCAAGTTGACCGTATGGATTATTTAGTGAGAGACATCATCTACTTAGCGGAACGTGAAGCTAAGGATAATGCTAACTTCTTTTCATTCTTCCTGAAAAGCTCCTGTATGAATTCTTCCTTGTATGAATAAAGGAACAAGTCCGCAAGATAAGGGACACAGTTGTTTCCAATAAGAATGGCGATTGAAAACATGAAGTCGATGATATCTACATTCAAAGTCTATTATTGATGTAAAATCCATATTGTTGTAAAACAAACACAATGATACTTAAAAAGAGCACAGACAATCTGATTTAATGATATTAAAGAAATAAAATCAAAATTACTTAGCTTAAAAAAAAACGAAACGTTACTATCGTTTTAGTGGAAAAAAAAGTCATACACCCTCCATTCAAAGTTGAAAGTCGTGGCTACAGTTCGTACATGGCAATTAAGATCTGTAAAAGAATGATGCGACATGTACAGTAATTTGAATACAAGTGAGTATGCTTTTGCTCTAGGTCTACCCGCCGTAATAACACTGACAGCTTACTTCCCTGACGTTACAACAGACAATGTCCCATTACCAGAAGCTTGCAGACGTTTAGAAGAACATGGTGCTGCAGTTGTAGGTTTGAACTGCGGTAGAGGTCCTAGGACAATGATTCCGTTAATTAAAGAAATAAAGAAAGTGTGTAAAGTGAGTAAACTAGTAAAAATATATGAAGTATAAATAAAAGCAAACCGCTCTTTAAAATTTCTAAATGATGCATCCATATAACAAGTGTTTAGTTTATAGGCAAGATCATTATAGGTCGAAATCAAGATTACTGTAGACAAAGTAATATAAAAATGTATATACAAATGATTAAAAATCTCAATTCCGTTTGTCGGTCTTTTAGATATCATCAGTAATCCGTTTGGATTGAATCCCTTTCATACCTTTCAAGAGCGTGGACTTCCTATCATGATTTTCTTGAAAGAGGGTTGCTGCTTACAAGGAAGATTTTAAATCAAAGTTTCGAAGAGGTGAAGTTGAAATCATTCGTTCGAAAATTTTACGGAAGCCATCACGAGTTGGTTGACCGTTATGAATAAAGGCAACAGTAGTATACCGGTGTTCAAAAGTCATAAATCGATTGAGAGAAAACAAATCCGGGTTACAACCTAAAACCGAGGGAAACACATCAACTATAAGAGGAAAACAAAGGAACAACAGGAACACTGAAGTGCAACAAAAACAAACGCCAACATACATAGAAACGAACTATATGATAACAACTGCTATATTCCTGACTTTGTACAGGACATTTTACGAAAAAAATGGTGGGTTGAACCTAGTTTTATGGCTAGCCAAACCTCCCGCTTATATGGCAATGTTAAAAAATATCGCTGAAATGACTACGTGACAGAAATACAGCACAAACACACGCAAGAACACTTCTATGAAATATGTGTATCATATATGACCATGGATATGTTTAAATTTTCGTAACCACAATTCATCCTCTTTTCCTCGAATATGACCTACCGAATAAGACTTATTATCGGGTTTGTACTTACATGAGCAACACGACAGATGCACATGTGAAGCTTACTCTTCCGAAGCACCTCATTTATTTGTTGGGGTTCGTCTTGCTCAGTCTTTAGTTTTCTATGTTTTGTTTTTATATTGTTGTTTGTTTTTCGTTTTTGCCAAGTCATTGTCAGTTCTTTTTCGACTAATGAGTTTGATAATCCTTTGGTATCTTTTGCCTCTCTTTTTCAATGCCAACTCGCACTAAACCAAATAATATCTTCATCAACTCGTACTTCATCAATGAAGAAACATTAAAACCAGGTTTTATCCACCATTTTTTACATAAGGAAATGCCTGTACCAAGTCAGCAATATTACAGTTTTTTCCATTCGTGTGATGTGTTTTAGCTTTCGATTTTGCCATTTGTTAAGGGACTTTCCGTTTTGAATTTTCCTTGGAGTTCGGTATTTTTGTTATTATACTTTTTATAGTCGAATTGCATAGTAAAGTAGAGTTAATGTTATTGTTTTTAAACCATTGTGGTGAAGTCAGCCTATTCATTTACCGTGGATTCTTTTTCTAGAATCAACGCTTCCTAAATCTGCCGCTGAAATTGACTCACCAAATTATATTCAATTGTTTCCTTTGTGTGCCTAATTTCATTAAGTTTGAATTGGCTAATTTACTGATTTCTGTTCACTAATGGAATTAATTTAAAAACTTACCTTTAATTTTTGTAATTTTTATATGCCTTCACTAGGAATCGAACCCTTCCTTGAAATCTGTTATGTGTGACTGACATCAACACATCGACGAAACCTCTCGGCTACCAATGGGTTACACTATACATGTCTATTTTATATATTTAAATGAACATCTGATATACATCAGTTCATCGGACACACAGGGCTTGTACCTTTATATAGACACAATAGGGAGTCGTATAGTATGAGTTGGTAGCCGCGAGGTTAGCATGGTTAAAATCAATGAGTTAAAGATAGGAATTTGTCGGTTTAGGTTCGAATCCCTGTATTCTCTCTGTTGTTCCAATTCTTATCCTGGTTTTATTCTAATTTTGCATTTTATAGTGGATATTTTTGTAATAATAGCGAGTTTTACCGGTTTTTTTTTAATTATTATTGGTTATTTCACATGTTTGAAACAAAAATGATTACATTCTATTTGTCAAATTTTGTTTTATAAATATAGTATGATTTCATCTGTTTTACTACATAATTTTACAAAGGTTTGTTCGCAAATTCCTATGCGAGAAAATCGTGATTTGCCTAGAGTGCTAGAAAAATTTCGATAACATACTTATTATATATATATACTTTTTTATATAGATTAGACCGTTGGTTTTCCCGTTTGAATGGTTTTACACTAGTAATTTTTTGGGGTTCTTTATAACTTACTGTTCGGTGTGAGCCAAGGCTCCGTGTTGAAGACCGTACTGTGACCTATAATGGTTTACTTTTATAAATTTTTACTTGGATGGAGAGTTGTCTCATTGGCACTCATACCACATCTTCTTATATCTATTTATATATGCTTTTTGGTCGGGTTGTTGTCTCTTTAACACGTTCCCCATTTCCATTTTCGATTTTATTAGAAATAATTTCGAATATGTCTTATTTTGTATAAACAGATAATATTCATATGCCTGGTAATATAAATATCTTTAAAGGTAGAAGTGTTATATTGGTATTTTGTTAACCAATTAATTGTGATCTGAGATTTATCAATGCATCGTTGGACACGATAACATGGTTATTTAAGCTCACTTACAATACCTTCTAATTAATAAAAAGGCTTTAATTTTGAAAAGAAATTAACACAATAGTTTAAGTTATAGATACAATGGATAAGCGTAGATTCATGAAAAACAAACCATTCGCCCTCCGGGCTCATGGTTTCTTTTTCAAGAATCCACGCTTATCCATTGTATCTATATAACATAACATGTGCCCCATATTATTCTAAAACTAAGTTGTCAGATCCGTGAGACATAGTAGAAGCAATATCCTTTGGCTGTTTCAATGGTTTGAAACTTTTATATTTGAATAATTCTTTTAAAATTTATACACCTACAAATACTTGAATTGGATTGGTTCATTAGAATGTGTTCCCTTGCATTACACTTCAATAGACCATGTTGCCGAAACTACTTTTGTAATCAATGTCAACACTATCTCGATTTTATGTGATCTATTCAAGCGCGAAACATATGTAGGGAAACTTGGGGTTCTGGGTAAGTTGAAATGAAAAAAAAAACTTTCCACAGAAACTGGAAAACTGGAAAGACCTTATTTAAATAATGGAAATTGTGGAATGAAAATAATAAGGACTAAACACGTTTTTTCTAGAGATATTTGATGTTCAAACAGGGCCGCTGACTCAGAAATAAAAGTCCTTTTTATTAAATTTTTGAGTTAATCTCCTCAATTTACACATCAGTAGCCTAAACAAAAAAGTGTTTAACCTTATAATGAATTTGTTTTCAAAACAGTTGTAACGAGCGTATTCGATGAGGATTATCCAGAAAGCCCTTGTCGTTCGCACTGAAACTGATCAGTATGAAGCATTGGTACATGTATGGTCAAATTTATAAATTTACTATTTACAAAACTTGGAATTGTTAGAATTGTTCTACCCAAGAAATAAATTACCATGTCTGTATTTGGCAAAACCTTTTCGAAATGTGGGTCCTTAATTCTCTTCAACTTCGTATTTTTTTTTATATTTTTACAATAATAAGCTGAAAGTGTTTGCGTTGATTAAATTCCATTATCTTCCGTTGCAACAAAAATTTGGTTTGCAGTGATGAGAAAACAAAATTTTAACATTTTTTCCACAGGGCCCTATTGCTGCTTTACCTGTTCCCTTCAGAACGACCGATGAATGTAAAACATTTCAATCTCTTAAAGACCCAGAAACTGGTATGTATTGTTAATTTGATTTCAAGTTTAGTAAATGCATTGCACAATTCGTATTTTCATTATGTTGTTCCTGAGGTAAAATATACATACACGAATATATGATAATGGAGAAAAGAGAGACAATAACTCAACATTAGATTTATCAGCTCACTCTCACATTCGCTGATTTTGATTTTCCAATTTTTTTGTGCAGTATAATTCAATGTTTCCTTAAAATCTACAATTTTGTTTATAAATTCAGAACTCGATCAAATAGTTTAAAGGAATTACTAAAAACAATCATTGTAGCGCAAAGATTTTACTTTACTATTGAGGCTAACATTTTGTACTTCGCCGCTCAAGGTTTATTATTATTGTAAAAAGTGTAATATATTTCAGGGAAACCTGTTTACCCTAACGATTTAGAGTGCGTGCGTTGCAGTAACAGCGATATTAGATATTTTGCCGAAGAGGCCAAAGAAATAGGTATCAAGTATGTAGGTCTCTGTTGCGGTAATTGTGGACAGTATTTTAGGGAACTTGCTGAGGCCTTTGGGAGACGTCCACTAGCATCAAAATATTCTACTGATATGAAGAAAAATCAGTTTTTAGGAGCAACAAAAGGAAATGTTAACACTGCAAGAGCAGATTTGATTCGGGATTTTGTCTATGGAAATTATAGACATGAAAACTGCTGACAGCTGATAGATCATTTCTAGCATCAAAATTAAACCAATCCTACAAGTCTTAATTTATTCTAACATCTTAAACAGACACCATCATCATGGTTTGATTATCCTTTATTAGATATATATGTCTGTCATAGAAAACAAAGATGTGTTGCATTTGTTATATCAACATATCCGCTCTGACAAAAAGTATCTTCTAACCCGTCACAGCTTCAGAAAGAATCCCTCGGATTTTTAAATAAAAAGATTTCGTGTTGCTCAATTCTAATATTCATGTGAAGAGTTTGATGGGTTGTTTGTCTTTGAAACATTTTTTGTGTCATGATGGTGTCTGTCTATCTTTTGTCGTCTTGTGGTTTTAGATTGCCTGTTCGGCATTTTGTTTTACATTAATCTTATATATGAACAAAATACTGACTTCACTTCAAATTTTTAAACAACCCCTCATTTAATATTTGAATAGAGTTAGTTCTCTTTAAATGATAATGTAATCATAAATTAACAAGTTACATGTGCAACGAATATCCTGTCTTTACCGCATTTCAAAAAAATCCATTGATGTTGTTATAATCATCTTTTAAAAAAAAGTTTTGCATTTGAAGTCTCAAGTTAGACGGTGAATAAGAATCGACCTCATATTGTAAAAATACAACATTTGGTTATAATAATATTACATGAGGTTTAATTGAGGTTAATTAAAGCGAAAGTAGTGTACCGATGATCAATTCTCGTAAATCTAAGTTAACAAACAAAAACTGAAGAAATCGCAGAAAGGAGTGGGACCGGGTGCGTTAATAGGGTAATCGTAAAAATCTGAATAAAATGAAATTAAGGAACAGGATTAATTTCTGCGTATACAAATGACTATTGCTCCGATATGAAAACATATAAATTGAAATGTTTCAACAATAACAAAATTATTTGAACATGAAGCATCTGCTTTCCCTCTCTATGAGTACCTGTCAGGAAAATCCTTATATGACTTGGTTGTCCAAAATTCTACATTTATATTTTTTATTAATGAGCTGAACCTCGAAAATTTTTCGTCAGTTTATTTCTTAATCGGATCTTCTAATATTTCTGATTTTTAAGTTTCTCATTGCTTATAAAGAGATATAGGAAGATGTGGTATGAGTGCCAATGAGACAACTCTCCATCCAAGTTACAATTTATAAAAGAACATTAAACGATTACGAAATTTTTGTTTCAAGTATCACTTACAAGAAATTCATAGAAAGTATAAATTCTTACAAATTGGAGGTATATATAGCTACCTGGGTATTTGTTTTGTTGGATAAAATGATTCATGAACGGATATCACTTCCTGTAGTATACATTTAAATGTGTATTTGATGACAGATTATACAAGGGAATTACCCTCTGTACACCTTGCTATAATGATGGAAAACTTTCTTTTGATATGAATAAACATTTTACAAACGCTGTTATTGCAATTACTTTTAAATTTCTAAAAATCAAAGTCGGCCGTAATAGACATTTAAACAAGTTTCTACTTTTAAAATTGTAAAGGCCTATACGCACGTAAAATTTTGCGGCCGTGTAATGGTATGGCGATGTCATCGTCGTCCGAAGACATTTGGTTTCCAGACAATAACTTGCGTGTAAGTGTATGGATCTCTTTCAAAATTGTTCCACAAGGTTCCATACCAAAAAAAGAAGTTTGGGATTGATTTTTGGGGTTATTGTCTGAACTGTTTAGGAATAAGAGGCCAAAAACAAGCATTTTTGTCGAGCCTGCGACTTTTGTCGCAGAAAGCTCGACATAGGGATAGCGATCCGGCGGCGGCGGCGGCGGTGGCGGCGGCGGCGTTAGCTAACTTCTTAAAAGCTTTATATTTTAGAAGATGGAAGACCTGGATGCTTCATACTTTGTATATGGATGCCTCATGTTACGAAGTTTCCGTCAGTCACATGTCCAATGTCCTTGACCTCATTTTCATGGTTCAGTGACTACTTGAAAAAAAAGTTCAGATTTTTTGTAATGGTAAATTCTCTCTTATTATAAGTAATAGGATAACTTTATTTGGTATGTGCGTACCTTGCAAGGTCCTCATGCCCGTCAGACAGTTTTCACTTGACCTCGACCTCATTTCATGGATCAGCGAACAAGGTTAAGTTTTCGTGGTCAAGTCCATATCTCAGATACTATAAGCAATAGGTCTAGTATATTCGGTGTATGGAAGGACTGTAAGGTGTACATGTCCAACTGGCAGGTGTCATTTGACCTTGACCTCATTTTCATGGTTCAGTGGTTATAGTTAAGTTTTTGTGTTTTGGTCTGTTTTTCTTATACTGTATGCAATAGGTCTACTATATTTGGTGTATGGAATGATTATCAGGTGTACATGTCTAGCTGGCAGGTGTCATCTGACCTTGACCTCATTTTCATGGTTCAGTGGTCAAAGTTAAGTTTTTGAGTTTTGGTCTTTCTTTCTAATACTGCATGCAATAGGTCAGCTATATTTGGTGTATGGAATGATTGTAAGGTGTACATGTCTAGCTGGCAGGTGTCATCTTACCTTGACCTCATTTTCATGGTTCAGTGGTCAAAGTTAAGTTTTTGAGTTTTTGTCTTTTTTTCTAATACTATATGCAATAGTTCAACTATATTTGGTGTATGGAAATATTTTATGATCTATATGTCAGTCACGCAGGTTTTATTTGACCTTGACCTCATTTTCAAGGTTCATTGCTCAGTGTTAAGTTTTTGTGTTTTCGTCTGTTTTTCTTAAACTATAAGCAATAGGTCAACTATATTTGTTGTATGGAAGAATTGTTAGCTGTACATGCCTGCCTAGCATGGTTCATCTGACCTTGACCTCATTTTCATGGTTCATTGGTCAATGTTTAGTTTACTTGGTTAATGTTAAGTTTATGTGACAGTTGTAATAAAGCTTTATATTTAGGACTATCAACATAATATCAATGATTAGTAAAGAAGGTGAGACATTTCAGCGTGTGCACTCTTGTTTCTTGTTTCAAGACAATAACTTGTGTATAGGTATATGGATCTCTATGAAATTGTCCCACAAGGTTCCATACAAAATAAGGAAGGATTGATTTTGGGGGTTATGGCCCTAACTGTTTAGGAATTAGGGACCAAAAAGGGGCCAAAACAATACTTTTCTAATACTTTTTATAAATTGCTTATTTCTTGACCAATTTCAATGGTGTTTAATTCAAAGTCTTGATTCTTAGGGTTCTAACATATGTTAAATCTAACCGTGCGTATTTAGATTTTGGATTTTGTGCCTCGTTTTCAAATTAGTCTGCATTCAGGTCTAAAGGGTCAAACATTAAACTTTGTTTGATTTCAACAAAAATTGAATTCTATGGGTTCTTTGATATGCTGAATCTAACCGTGTATTTAGATTTTTTATTTTGGGCTCGGTTTTCAAATAAGTCCACATTGAGGTTCAAAGAGTCCAAAGTTAAACTTAGTTTGATTTTAACAAAAAAAAATGAATTTTTGGGGTTCTATGATATGCTGAATCTGAATATGTATTTAATTTTTTTTTTATTTTGGGCCCAGTTTTCAAGTTGGTCCAAATCGGGGTCCAAAGGGTCCAAAATAAAACTTTTTTTTTATTTCATCAACAATTGAATTCTTTATGTACTTGAATATGCTGAATCTAACTGTGTATTTAGAATTTGGATATTGGACCCCATTCATTCTGTGTCAGAAACCTATGATGTGTCAAATATCTAATCACAACTTAAATTCACAGCTGTTTCAAGCTTGAATGGTGAGTCCATTCTTGCACATACTGTTCAGGATTCGACCTCTTTTTACAAATTTAAGCAATTCTGTATTTCAAACATGCAAATATTAAAGCTTATATGATGAATACACTAAATCAGTATCTGATTATTTAGCAGGAGTATATTACACTTGATTCAGATGTCATATCTGTATCTCTTATGTCATCATTTTTGGCTTCAATCTTCATTTCAATATTTGTTTCATGTAAGTCATGATCATCGTCTGTATTTTTGTTGGACACGAAGAACGACACTATCCGAGATTAATGGTTTAGTCTCTTAGTTTTTGAAGGTTTTCTCGAAGCTTTCCTGATTATACTCCTTTCCATATAGTAAAAAAAACTTATAATACACTTCCCCCTACTGTAAACAAAATATAATGTTTTGGCTCGAAAGATGTTAATTTTTTTTCGCCTTGCTCCGCTCGCCTCAATTTTTAAGATAAAAAGCCTAAGTTTCAACATGTTCTTCCAGGACAGTATTTTCAATCTGAATCTAAAGTTGAATGAAGGTGTGATAAATATCAATGAGACCATAACCGGCATATCCAAATAAAGTTTTTTGAAGTCGCAAACAACTTCCACAATTGAAGTTCTAGATCCACTACTGATGCAATATTTTATACTTATAATAGAAAAAGAAATTGTATTCATTTGTTTTGTTATAACGAACAGAAGTATTGAGAAATGTATGTGCGTGTGGGGTGTTGAAATGTGTATGTCTTTGAAAAGGGAAGTGGGGGAGGGGGGTCTTGGATTTATTTTTCTTCTTCAAGCTGGGGACTTGAAAAAATAAGAGTAATTCCAATGTTTCCTCCAAGGTCCCCTCAATGAAAGAAAATTAGCAGTCCCTCGATAGTTAATTTATAATTTCAGTAATGTTTAATTATTTATTTGTAATTCTGTTTTTGCCGACCATTTTGCAAGGAAGGTTTATCTATAAATAAGTTATCAAGATAATAGGCAACAAAACAACAAAACCCATAAGAGCGCAAATTGCTCAAATGGGACCTTTCCTGTAGAGCATATTCAGACTGTTTTCATTACACCCCCCTTTAAAAAAAAGCTATTGTAGTTTTCAAGATAAACCCAAAAATTTAAAGCCACCGTTAGCCCTTTTAACAGTTCGGTGCCTTGAGTCTGGAGGTTTGTATAAGCGAAATTTAAGTCACAAAGACCTCTGGATGTTTGTGCGAAGATCCTTTTATGTTGCGATTAACTATCTAGTTGAAGCTGTAATAAAAATATGAGCAAACGAAATAAAAAAATACTGCTCGCAA